TATTAGGAAAAAAGCAACAAATTTTTGACAACTTCAATCACACGCTATCAATTTTAAAACCGCGGGAGATTTGCCATACTTGCGTTTCCTGCATGTTTACCTAATAAATGACAAATTATAACGATTTCAAGCGGTAACAAATCATGACCATTTTAGTGTCATCATCTCCCGGACTATTAATCCTAGTTCGAGCGATAACGACATGGTCTCTGAGTATAACCGTAAAAGTAGAAGTCATTCGGATTAATATTCTTTTTGGAATCGTGATCACCATATTCGAAACACGGTCTCGGGAAAAACGCGAATAAAGTTCTGAAACATTTTAGTACAAGTACCGCTTCGTTTTCCGTTACGAGCGAAAGTGACACTCAGAAGGGAATGAAACTCTGCTGTATTGGATAGAAACCTTCTAGAATGTTTTCGAAAGGTTGAATATCAATAATGGCGAGCGCCGGTTATAGCAATTGATTGGTGTGCGCTATTTGAATCGGTCGAGCGGCCCCAAACACAACGTCATTTTAACTCGTATATTTTGGACAATTTTCGTTTCTCCCAAAAAAACGTTTTTGTGGGATATTCTTAAGACTATGTTTTCAAAAAAAGCGAAAAAAATCGAATTTTTTACCCTTAAAACGTAAAAAATCCCTCCTTAAAATGCATTTGTTTAATGTTTTTAACACTTGTTTAACAATTCTGTTTAACATTTCTCTTACTGATTGACAAATTGTTATTTTCTGTAAGACGCGTAGTGTTCAGATGGCTTTCTTTTTCGTTATCTACAAGTTATAAGTTTTGGACACATTTTAAAATTCTGCTGCTCATATATGTATAAAATATTATATTGAAACATAAAAAGTAAATAATTAAATTCTAATTTAGTCCGATTCTGATTATTTATTAACGTAATTAGTGTTAATATTCTTGTACATAATATGTTATAATGTTAATATATAAAAGATATAACTAAGTCTTTTTTAATTCAGATGCATAAGCTCCAGATTTCATCGAACCAATGAATGTTTACGTGTATTATATTCTGATCTGTTCGAAAGTAGTGCAAATTACAGAAGACAAAACAGATCCATCTTTGTGCATCAGCGGATAACAGAAGCTAAAGATTACAATCAATATATTATATGGATTATAGTGTAATAATTAGTTAATAGAATTACTGTGTACATACGAGGGTCGTCTGAAAAGTTTTGAGCCTAACATAGAAACAAGTAATTTTTCGGTCAAATTCAATTTTATTTTTTCACATAGTCTCCTTTTAAGTCGATACATTTTTTCCAGCTCTCACCCTTTAATCCATTCAAATAATACTGAGCGTCTTGCTTTGCAAAATAGGCGTATACGGATGCGATGACCTTCTCGTTCGATGAAAATTTCTGTCCTCCGAGCTAAACTTTGAGCCTAGGAAACAGAAAAAAGTCGCTGGGGGCCAGATCTGGTGAATAAGGTGGATGGTCAATTAATTCGAACCACAATTCGTGAATTTTTGCCATAGTGACCGCCGAAGTGTGACGACGTTATCTTGATGGAACAGTACTTTCTTCTTTTTCAAATGCGGTCGTTTTTTCTCAATTTCTGTCTTCAGCTTGTCAACCAATGATGTGTAGTACGTCTCTGTTATTGTTTTACCTTTTTCAAGATAGTCGATCAACACGATTCCATGATTGTCTCAAAAAACAGTCGCCATCACCTTTCCCGCCGATAAAACCGTCTTCGCTTTCTTCGGAGCAGGTTCACCCTTCGCAGTCCACTGTTTTGATTGTTTTTTCGTTTCAGGAGTGAAGTGGTAGACCCAAGTTTCATCAACCGTTATTAATCGACGTAAAAAATCCGACTCGTTTCGCTTAAACCGCTCCAATAGGACCTTAGAAATGTTCATTCGAATGCGTTTTTGATCCAGAGTGAACAAGCGCGGCACCCAACGCGCGGTTAACTTACGCATGCCTAATTCTTCAATCAATGTATGACAAACATGTTCTTTTGATATGCCAACAGCCTCTGCTATCTCCCTAATCTTAATTCGACGTCCATTATCATTTGATAAATTTCTTCGATGTTATCGGTGGTGGTCATCGCAGTTGTTGGCCGTCCCGAACGCTCATCATCAGCTAAGCTGGTACGACCACGTTTAAATTTAGCTACCCATCTTTTCACGGTGGCAAATGATGGGGCAGAGTCCCCGTAAACAGCGTCCAACTCGGCTTTAATTTGAGACGTATTGCCTTTCAAATGCAAGAATTTAATTATAGCACGATATTCAATTTTTTCCATTTTTACAAAATGAAGACACAAATAATTGTCAAACAAGAACTAAACGTCCAAAGTGGCCACAATTGTCACAGATATCTTTCGTAAGTATCACGATTATAATACCAGAATGGCTTTGATGAGTAACGCCATCTTCATGATGAGGCTCAAAACTTTTCAGACGACCCTCGTACATCCACGCGAATGTATATATGTATACAGGATGTCTCAACTAACTTTCTCATCGACATATTTCAAAAAGTATTAAAGAAATGTTTTCTATGAATGTGCAATTGCTTCGAGCGAGGTCTATTGTGATCACGTTTTTCTCTTTTAAATAGAGATACGATGAGAGACGCAATGAAAAAGATATAATTATCCATTTTTAAAATGGAAATATAGAATTTTTTACGTAATATGATTTCTCTATAATTATTCTGCATGTAAAAGTATTAAGTTAGATATATAAAGAACCAATAATTTACGAGATATTATAGGCACATTTCTCTGGCACATATAATTGACATGACACATTAAATATCTCGGAAAGCATTAATTTTTTGATAATCGTAATATCCTAATACTTTTATGAATAGAATAATGAGATTAATCAGATGTAAAAATAACATATAGTTGTTTAACAGAATTATTCATTGTGCCTAAGTATTTTTTTGGTATAATTTTAGAAAGTTGGCGACCTCTTTCGTCAATTTCAATAATCCTGACATATAAAGGTTATGCGTTTCGCGGGTTTCCTCCGTGCCCAGATTCATTCTTGAGATGCCAACGTTTTGTGAACCTTGCAGTCCACTTCATCAGGGCGAGGGGCAGCCTGATAATGGAAGACCATTCTCCCGGTTATTGAAGACCGACCAATTCCACCACCTCTTATCCCTCCCCCTCTCCGCCCATCACCACCACCCCAACAAGCAGCGTAATATAAAAAGGAACGGCCCGGACCGCGGACGAACAGCTCAGTATCAGGCAGATCAGGCTGCCCCTCGCCCTGATGAAGTGGACTGCAAGGTTCACGAAACGTTGGCATCTCAAGTATGGATCTGGACACGGAGGGAACCCGCGAAACGCATAACCTTTATACAGAAAGCACCCGTGGAAGCCTCAAGAATGTTATCAAATACCTCTACGGGGAGAGGATTCTTGCAAAAGTAAACACTTTCAGCAAACTCAGGTCTTCCTTAGCCAAGAAACTATCAAACTTGGCATTCCTAAAACGCTGTAGGGATAATAACATCATCCCAAAGTTTCTACAACTCAAGGACCACCTAGGAACTCACAAAAACATCCTTCATAAAACCAGCCTAATCCTTATTAAAGAATGCATCCACTTCACTAAGGCACAAATAACCCAGATCTCCCATAAAACCTTTAAACTTCATCTATTCCTGTCCGTCATGTTGCAGCATGACATCTGGCAAACCCTAGATCGCATTACATACGAACAAGCCGCGAAGACCCTCACACTATCCTCTAAAAGACAGAAACAGAAATACATAAATCATCCGTCACAAAAATCCACAACCTTCTCTACTCAACGTCAAGAACCTATCCAACAAAGGCCTGTCTTAAGATACTATGGCTGCGTTCGAGGAGCGCGCTATCAACGCTACTTGTGTCATACTATCCTTGTTTCACATTTAATGGACGATGAAGATAGAATGACACAAATAGCGCTAATAGCGTCTCCCCGAACCCAGCCTACATCTGCACTTGCCAAAGGCCCTAACTTCGCAGTGGCACCTAGAAAGGTTCCAAAGGAAAAAATTATCAGCCAAATAGAGCCAACCATCTACCGACTCCCATCAGAACAAACAGATAATATCCGCAGACAGGTAACCAACATCCTTTCCAAAGCCAAACCCCCTCCACCAAATATCACTAGACAAGAGCGATTGGCCCTCCAAGACCTGAACAGGGACACAGACATCATCGTGCTTCCAGCCGACAAAGGCAACACGACAGTAGTCACATCAGATTATAAGAAAAAAATAAAGAACCTTCTCTCGGACAAAGCATACAAAATGCTTGACAGAGATCCAACTGACACAATCGCACAGAACACCAAGATCCTAGTGGAAAAAAGCAACATTTCCAATGAAACAAAAACAACATTAAAACCTACAAATCCTCTCCCACCAAGACTATACGGACTACCGAAAGTACACAAATCAAACATTTCGCTCAGACCGATTGTTAGCGCCATACACTCCCCGACATACAACTTATCGCGCTTCCTAGCACGAACACTACAACCTCTCACTGAAAAAACCGAATCACACATAACCAACTCAACGGACTTCATACAAAAGATTCAAAAAATCCGACTACGACCCATAGACCTGCTCGTAAGTTTCGACGTAGAATCCCTTTTCACACAAGTCCCAATAAAAGACACATTAAACATAATAAAGGCCTCACATGAAGTCCCTCTCGACCTCATCCCGCTAATAGAGCACTGCTTGACAAGCACTTATTTCTCCTATAACAACCAATTTTATGAACAAACTTCAGGAGCGGTGATGGGCTCTCCTATTTCTCCTGTAATCGTCAACATCTTCATGGAGCATTTTGAGAAAGAGGCCCTCAGAAAAACATCCAAAAAACCAGAAGTTTGGTTCCGTTATGTACGAGGTGTGATCAAAAAGTAAGGTGGTTTTTCATTTTTATAAAAAAATATTCATTTATTCATCCAAAATTATGTTATCCCCTTCAAAATAATCCCCCTCTGATACAATGCACTTGTGCCAGCGCTTTTTCCAGTCGTCAAAACACTTCTGAAATGCACTTTTGGGTATTGCCTTGAGCTCCTCCAGCGATGCAGCCTTAATCTCCTCAATCGTCGCAAATCTTCGTCCTTTCATGGGCCTTTTCAATTTTCCATGTTTCGTCACCAGTTATAACCCTTTTGAGCAGATCAGGATCATGATCATTGACGTCGTTCAACATGTCTAGGGCGATGTTCATGCGACGCTGCTTCTGATCAAAATTAAGCAGTTTTGGAACGAATTTCGCTGACACACGTGTCATACCCAAAACATCCGTTAAAATTGATTGGCATGAGCCAAACGATATGTTAAGATCATCAGCTATTTCTCTAATCGTGATTCGACGATTTTTCAACACAATTTCTTTCACTTCCTGAACATTTTCGTCGGTTTTTGACGTGCTGGGGCGTCCAGAGCGAGGTTCATCGTTAACATTTTCTCGGCCCTCTTGGAATAACTTATACCATTTATAAACATTTTTTTTGCTCAAAGTTGACTCACCGTACGCCACTGTCAACATTTCAAGAGTTTTTGAACACTTAATACCATTTTTTACACAAAAATTAATACAAACTCTCTGCTCCATTATTGTCAACAGCAAAAAATCGCCGAGCACGCAAACACGAGTCTAACCTTTATGCCTCTCACATAAAAACAACACATGCTATATACTATATAGTCAAAACTGTGAACATATGATCGTGACGAGTGTACCAACACAACAAAAAAAAATTTTGAAATTAGAGTGTACAGAGCGCGCGAAATTCAAAAAGTCACCCTACTTTTTGATCACACCTCGTAGACGACACATTCGTGGTATGAAGACACGGTAGAGCCGAACTACGTAAATTCCTTGTTTTCCTCAACAAACAACATCCAAATATCCACTTCACTACAGACATAGAGGAAAACGGAAAACTCCCTTTCTTAGACGTTCTTGTCTCTAAAGCCAGCGGCACACGATGCTTTTTTTCCTGCTGGATTGCTTGCGTGCTACTGTGCTGGCAATCTGACTGGCTGCTATGCTGGAAATTGTATGGCTTGCAGGCCCCGCTGTTGGCTGATCCGCTGGATTTTCGTGATAGAACCGGTGCTATTTTTCTTGATTTCATGCTGGCTTATTGTAGAACCAATCACGACGCTGCTTCATTTGAAGATGGCCGCTGAGAAGCGTGTAAACACATGCGATTAATTCTCAATCGACGATTTTTCATAAAACGAAAGAATCTGACAGAAAAAGCGTTGCTCTTCCCCGCGAACCAAAATATTTATCGGTAAAGTTCATGACTCCTCAGGGCTCAGATTAAGAATTTTTAAGTACTTGTAATAAATTCCAGTTGCTCAGCCAGTACTAAAACTCGCATCGTCTGAAGCCAAATTAGCAACACAGCCAATAGCACAGCCAGCACTGTTGCCAACACGGCAGCAAGCACGCAAATCCAGCTAGCAACCCAGCAGGAAAAAAAGCATCGTGTGCCGCTGGCTTAAGAAAGCTGACGGTACTTTAGGTCATCAAGTGTACAGAAAACCAACACACACAGACAGATATCTACATGCCGAGTCGCACCACCACCCAGTACAAAAACAGTCAGCAATCAACTCACTAGTACATAGAGTTTTCACCATCTCTGACAAAGAACCACAATAGTCAACAGTACATCATACTTTCCAACAAAGTATAAAGAAGCCAAAGAGATACAAAAACACCCTAACAATTTATAAATAGAGATAATGGCTACAACATAAATAAAATATGGAAAACCATTCTCCCGGTTATTGAAGACCGACCAATTCCACCACCTCTTACCCCTCCCACAACCCCTTCCCCCTCTCCGCCCATCACCACCACCCCTACAAGCAGCGTAATATAAAAAGGAACAGCCCGGAGGCATGGTATAACCATGCCCGGAGGAACAGCTCAGTATCAGGCTGCCCCTCGCCCTGATGAAATGGACTACAAAGTTCACGAAACGTTGGTATCTCAAGAATGGATCTGGACACGGAGGAAATCCACGAAACGTCTAACTTTTATACAGAAAGCACCCGTGGAAGCCTCAAGAATGTAATCCTGACATATTTTCAAATAAAATTGATGATATTAATGTATATTTAACACTTCATTCTTTTCAAGTTTTAAAGCAGACAAATTCTCTGCTTTAAAACACAAATTCTCTCCTTTGGTACACATATTCTTTGCTTTACGATACAAATTCTTTACCTTAAAGACACAAATATTTTGCTTTCAAAACGAAATTACTATAAGAAAAAAGTAGCTAAGTTAGAATATGTTAAAGCAGGGGAAATGTGGATTTTTTAAGAAGGAAGTGAATTTTAAACTCAGAAAAAAATGAATTCCTGGAAATGAATTGACACAACTTTCAGATGTATATATTTTATTTGAAACAAAAATATTAAACCTACTTCCAAATTTAATTTTCTTTGCAGAGACTGTGCGTCTAATACATCCTTAAATTGTACTGTAACATCTTTTAGATGCCTCGATCTCCTAAAAAAAATAATGTAACAAAATATGTTCAAAAAGTATTAAAAATATTATGTCATCCTTGAAATCGTTCCACTTTTATCTGAAATACACTTTTCCGTATCGTTTTGAGATAATTTGATGCATCAGTTGATATGAGTCACCTTATATATGTATATACATTATAAGAATAATTAATTTCAATTAGGTGAAATAATCATACATTGCGAACCGCAAGTAATAAAACACTATATTTTATATCGAATTCTACGTTAAAAATATAATTTCTTTAATATTTCTCGTGTATATCTCTCGGTTTGATTAATTATAACAATTACAATTTATTTACAGGCACGTCCACCTACAACTATGCCTTATATCACGCAAGCTAAACACAGTATTGAAAGTACAAATGTCAATACAAATAGTATGGTACTTTTATAAAGCTTTAGTTGTCTCTCTAATGACGTATAAAATGATTAAAACATATGATCGGTATATATGGGAATTTATGAATGCTTTGATGTATTTATGTATTTTTTTTGATTTCGTTTTGACGACCATTTTATTTCTCACATTACACTACATATGTCAAACTGTTTATAATGAGGTATATATTATAATAGAACAAATGGATTAATAACTAGTTATTACTAGAATAATAAGCACAAACAACAATAAAATTACACATGTAAAAGTTTTATTTGAAATTTTATTCATTGAATACAAAGTTTTCAGATTTACTACAAATTTTCGTTTTATGTTGATATAATTTCAGATAAATGAGACAGTTGCAATTCTTCACAAATTGTCCAGTTATAATCTCGATGAGGATTTACGTGAACAGGTAAATAATTACAACAAAATTTAATTTTAGAATTTTAACTTTTTATGCGTAATTTTATTTGACTAAAAATCTAGATATCAACATAAATATCATTGAATGAGCGTGTACAAAATTGGGATATTACATAACAATTGTGTTATTCTTTTATATATTTTAGAATACTTGTACACACATTCTAACGCCACAGGTAAGGATAAACTAGAAAAAATTCCAAAAATTATTTTTTATTTTATATAACAAAAGCGAGTTTTTAAAAGTTATTTCATATTATCTCTCAATATTCTAATATCATACCATCGTACTGTCAATATTCTACTATCATACGATATATATCCTACTATTACACTATAAATATTCTGCAAAATAAGCTCAGTACGTTTTGGCATATAGAATTGAAAATAATTTATAAGGGTTTTGTAGTTGGTGTTGTGGATATATGTATAAATATCCTAAAAATATATATATAAAAGAATACAATATGTTAAATTCATAATGTTGTATTATATTCATTTTGAGTTATTTATTGTTTAATCATTTCTGTACATCGGCCTTGCTTGTACTCAATATGCCGTTAATTTTATTATGACATTGGGGTTAAATAACTTAACTCTTGAAAATGTATTAAATTTGACTCAAATTTAATTTATTATTTACTAATAATAAGTTCAAACGTTAATATGAACGCTTTACTTTGAAACTAAAAAATGGATTGATTTTGACACATATTGAAGTTAAAAATAACAAAATGTTATTAAACTTAAGGGATAGGGTTGCTCTTTAATGGGCCTTTTACAATAAGCTGCAAGTCAGAAGTTCTAAGCGATCTTAATAGGCCTTCTACAATAAGCCACAAGTCAGAACGTCAAAAGTCTTAACCAAGTCGTTGGCTATTGGCCAACTTCACCGATTATGACTTAAGATCGCTTAGAATTTCTGACTTGCGGCTTATTTTAGAAGGCCCATAAGTCATAATCGGTGAAGTTGGCCAACAGCTTGAACGACTTGGTTAAGACTGGTTAAGACTTCTGATGTTCTGACTTGCGGCTTATTGTAGAAGATCCATAAGGCTCTTTGCTACTCAGCCAAGAACTCTGCGTTGACGGTAGCGATACAAAAAAGACCGGTATCCACACTGAGAAAAAAAGTTGCTATTTCAAAAAAATATTAGTTGATTCAACTAAATGTAACGGTCACGGACTATCAAGCAAATATTTGTTA